TTTTAATCAAATAAAATTTAATCGGCCTGCCCAAACTTATGAACGAAATTAACATTTCAACTATCCTCGCACCATTCTTTCTTTTAACTTGATTTGGTCTTCATAAAATATATAACGTATATAAAGAATGATTCCAGGCACTTAATAAAAAGTTCTAGGTAGTAAAAAAGTTTCAAAAATTTTAGATCTACTGGTAATATTTTAAAAAGCTTTGCACCTTATATAATTGTATAAATTTTAACCTAAAACTATATACAATTTATTTAAAATAAATACATTACATTTGGCTCTATTTTTTTAAAAAAAATTTGTTTCTAATAAAAATTTTAAACTTGAAATTACAATGAATGACTTAATGTTAAACGATTCGATATAGTTTTCCGATATCCTAACAACCAACCGATTTAATTATTTTACCATTATTATTATTATATATATATAAATATCCTTTTTGTCTACATATCAATTTTACAAATTTGATTAGCATACTTTATAATAAATAAAATATTATATAAAAAATGCTTATATATTGAACTGTAATCCAACTTTTAGCATAACTTTCAATGAAAATATAAATATATTATTGTCAAATTTAAATTATCTTTTGATCTTTTCATTATTTTGTTAAAATTATATTTATTCTTATAAAACCTTTATTAAACACCACACTATAATTTAAAATGAACAAAATTTTAAAAATTTCTGAGCCGGACCAGGCTTACAATAATAAAATATTCTCAAAAATTTAGTATTATTTAAAATTATCTATCTAGCTTAACAAATCAATTTTTTTTTCTCTCTCTGTTGCACTGACTGCAATGGTATTTCAAATAATATTTTTGTTATAATTTAAAATTAAGATTATATTTGTTAAGGTAATAAAAAAATTAATTAATAAATTTTTTAAACAATTTCTTCATAGATTTATGCTATACATCAGCAATATTTGCTAAAATATTGTTGATTTTAGCCAAATAAAGGTCATATTTTAAAAAAAATTAAAAAATTTTTTAATCAGATATTATATATTTTAATTAAAATTTGTAAACATTCTGTTATCTAATAAAAGTTTATATACACCAGTTTTTAATTATAAATTATAGAATTTTTTTAAAAATCACATTAGCAAAATCGATCTGAATGGTGAATCAAATTTTTCGATTGATATCAATATTAACAATAGCACTTATGTCTTCGATCATTCTAGTAGCTTTTACTCATAAAGGTAGTAAGTTAAATTAGAATAAACTACAATACATTAATATTTTATAAGAATATTCACTAGAAGAGATTTTAATAAAATGTTCATATCTTCAAAAATGACCGAGTAATATCTTATTCCAAAAGGTAGCCCGTTAACTCCTCTGACTAAAATATGTTAAATTTTTTTCTTAATTTAAGAGATTTATTTTATATTTTTTTAACATGTGTTAACAAGGGTATTTGTATTCCGGTTACAACAGCTAGCGTTAAACAATTAATTTTTTTATAATATAATAAATATATTTCGTTTATTTATTTTTTTTTTTGTAAATAATTTTATTAAGACCGTTTAAAAAATAATACTAATTAGGCACAACTAAAGGTTTGGTATAAATTTGGGATTTAATGTTTCCAAAAGCTTGGTTCACTTTAAACTTAAAGCCTGACTTCTTTTTTTTGTGGTTCGTAAAAGATTGAGGAATTAATAAGTACTAGTCAGGCAGTAAATATGAGAGGAAACCAAAGTAGTTCTATACTTTCAATTCGGGCATGATGCTAATCTTGGCAATTTTTTCTTATATTTACTGATAATTTTATTTTCTTTATACTGTCTACAAAAAAATTGATATATAATAAAGAATTAATCACTTGATAAAATTTACAGAATAAACCCTTTCAGACGCTCATAGGCGTGCCCCAAGATTTTCTTATGAGATGGAAAATTTTATCTAATTTGTTTTTTTAAGATTAAATTTTTTTTTATAAAAAATATGGGATTTCATTTGAAAGATTTTTTACATATGAAAATCGCAAACGATTTACTTATAAAATATTTTCACAAAATGGATTTGGAATTTTAGGTAAATTTTATCAGAAATATCATTTGAGAAGCATTCTGAAAAAAATTCAATATTTTAAAATATCTTCAGAGATTAAGATTTTTAATATTTCTAAAAGAATTTCAATCGATTATTGAAATGATTGTTAAAATTTATTACCTTTATAGTAACGGCAAATGTATATGTTAACAATTTCAATATAGTCTCTTACGAATATTTTTGTTTAATAAATCAAATAGATTTCCATTCTATCGATATTTTTTTATAATTAATGTTAGGAATTTGTATCATTCAGTTGCTATTTAGATATTTGTAAATTTCAAATAATTGATAATAAGTACTAGTGTGAACCCGAACCCGGACTCTTTTTAAAGGTGGAGGACCCAAGGGTTCTAAGTTTCATAAAAATTTTTTTAAAAATAACATAAATATTTTTAAATTTTATTAACTTTTTTTGTGGAATCATTTTATCTTAGCGCTTTTCTTTCAATTTTTTTCCAGGACTTCCATTTTATTTAGAGATTGATATCATACAGTGTAATAATATTTTATTTTGTAAATTTATTAATATGCTATGTTATAGAAATACGTTTATTATTTTGTAAGTGAATAATTTTGTAGTACAAGTAATATTACTTTAATTTAAATGATAATGCACAACACGTTGGTCCTCAATTTGAATGATGCTAGAACGATTATTAAGTTTGAAAGATTTCTGTAATAATTTTATTACAGGAGCATGTGAAGTCATTTTGTTGGAAGATGACTGGTGCCAAATAAAGGGCCTTACTAATGTATTAGTTTAAAAATAACAATATTAAGATTACAATCAGAACAATTATGTTTATTTGATTTTAAGGATGGATTAGATGCCAATTAAATTTAGAAAAATTTACAGTCTTTTTTAAACGAAATAATAGAAAACATGAAAATTCGTGAGCAACAATATTTGCAAAATAGTTGCATACGCTTCTATATATTTAGAACCTCGATATCAAGTTTTGAGTATTGAGCAAAAACAAATGGCTAAAGACCATCTCAAGGATTTATGGCAAAAGCAAAACTCCATTATTTACAATATATTGGAGGCTACGACAATACCTATTGGTTGTAGTGATAATAATAATAATAGCAACATTGATAATCTTGAAATTTTACTTATAGATAGAGAAAAAAATCAAATTATCATCAGATAGAAAGGAGGATCAAAAAATGCCTATTGCATCTTTAATAGTAAATTTCTCAGAAGTTAAGAGAATAAATAAGGATATAAATATTTTAAAATTCTGGGAAGAAATTCAATATATGCAGAATTATTTATCTTATCTAGAATCTTCAAGGCTGTACTGGCGACACAAGTACAATATTTTTATAAAGATAACTATTTATTTTAGGTAAGGGTAGAACGTGATCTTTCATCTTTGAAATATATATTGTCTACTTTAAGTGAAAAGGATGATATTTTAGAAGATATTATGATTCTGCGAGAATAAAACATTTAAAATATAAATTATTTCATTTATAAATTTTTCATTGGTAAATTAAGAATATGTATATATTGAAGTATAATAATAAATGAATGAAAAAAAAATATTATTTTGAGTCATTATTTTTATGTTCCCTGAACTCGGACCCGAACCCTGGACCCGGATCCTTTCAAATTTTATTCCTGTACCCGAACCCGGACCTGAACCCTTTTTTTTGACGAAGGGTTCACATCTATGATAAGAACATAACTTTTATATAAATGTTATCATGATAATCACTAGCACCAACTATTTTTTAAAATTAAAATATAATATTTTAAAAAATTGATCAATTGAGTTTGAACACAATTCTTTCTTTCCTTTTTTTTTCTTTCTTTCTTTCTTTCTTTCTTTCTTTCTTTCTTTCTTTCTTTCTTTCTTTCTTTCTTTCTTTCTTTCTTTCTTTCTTTCTTTCTTTCTTTCTTTCTTTCTTTCTTTCTTTCTTTCTTTCTTTCTTTCTTTCTTTCTTTCTTTCTTTCTTTCTTCTCTTTCTTTCTACTAATAGTGCACATATAAAATATATAATAAGTTATTATCAGTCTATTTAATCTAATCAAACCAGTTAGGAATATTTATGTTAATTATTAACAATCCCATAAGACTTCTTTATATCCTTTTGGCACAGGGTTTTCCGCTCCCTTTATGATAATTTTCTTAACATCATTCTCTTCTACTATTTCAACTTTTGAAAACTAGGGCCAAACAATGCTAATTACATATTTAAAATATATAATATGTAAATAATAATAATACAGGAAGATCAGTTATTGTTAAATAATCTAATTTATTGTGCATATTTTATTTGGGAAGAAATCTAATAATATTGGAACCTCTACTGGTTTCACTTATCTAGCATCATTAAAATGCTATACCAACATGTGATCTAATAAAGGAAGTGGTTTGTATTGCCTTTTGCTTATTTCATATTTTCAGAATCAATTACTTCTTCTAAATCATTTCTATTTTAACAATATTAATCCTAGAACATAGGTTTAGTTTATTTCATATTCACATAACCAGGAACTTATCCTGACATTTGATCTATGTTAATAAATAGCATTCTAATAAATTTTGAATTTTATTAAATGCAATGTAATAATTTATAATTAAAAAATTTGTAATTTTTATTTTTATATTAATTTAATTTATATTCATAGCTATGAATAATATAAACTTATTCTTATTATAATATTAATGTAAATAATTATAATTTATAAGGAGATGACAACTGTGTGGCGTGCGTCACATAGGTTTACCAACATTTCGATATGTGAAATATTACAATTTTAAAAAATTAATTTTTTTAACTATTTTTTTTAATTGGTAAGATATAATAAGATTAAATAGGACAGAAGAGTAATTAGTTAAAAATGGTATGTATTTTTTTTCAAAAGATTTAACCAAGAATTTTGAAAGTGAAATAACCTATAGAATGAATCAAAATATGGATCCATGCACAGACTTTTACGAATTTGCTTGCGGTGGCTACATGCAGAAAACTACGATACCAACCGGGTATCCTAAATGGGATCATGCTATGCAGATTGCAGATTCAATTTATTCCACCATAAAAGATTTATTAGGTAATATAAAGAAAGGAAAGAAGGATGAAAGTAAGTAAATAAGGAAAGGAAAAAAAAGGAAAGAGAAGATGTAGTATAGTGGAAGAAGTAAGAATGAATAGAGGCGATGAAAGAAGAGTGGATGAGAAGAGAGAAGAGGATAGGAAAGGTATAAAAGAATTGAATATTACTAATTTATCATAATAGAAAACTGTATTTTATTTTTTTCAAATATTTTTAGGTAGAAATTCATATATTTTTGAAAAATTCTAGACTGGGGTTAGCGCTAATTCAAGAGTTTTTGCCTTTTAAATATAAATATATGGCTATAATAGTAAATAGATATCATTTATATTTAAAACATTTACTAATTTTTTCAAATTCATGATATTAAAACAGATAGATACTATTTTATTTTATAAACAAAATAATATTTATACTACACGAATATCAATGGAAAATTAATATCATGTGATAAATACTTAAATAATATCATGTTTTGTATTCAGATTGGGCTTATTTGACTCCCTTTTTTGAATTATGATCATTATATTTATTTTGTGCATTATATTTCAAATAATATAATATAATTCAGTAACTTTTTTGCGTTTTATAATACTAAAAAAAACGCATTTTTTATGTTTTCACTTTTATGTTATTTTTTTTAAAATCATATATTGGCCATATTAGTAAGCACTATTTATTATTTTGTTATTATTTTGATAATCGGTAATATATAGTAGATTAGCCTTATTTATTATAGTAAAGTTAATCTAAAGAAATTATTTAGGAAGACCAAATTTTTTCAAATAAAATTTATATATTCTAACTTTGTTTATTAAGCGACATTAAAAATAACAGCAATATCTACTAAATGTTTATTTTTAAAAAAGCGGTTTCAATTCAAAAAAAATTAAATACAAATATTTATATAGAAAATAATTGAAAAGAACTTAAAAAAAATATTAAAAATGGTACATATCATCCTAGAGAAGAGTGAATGCTTAAAAAAATGCTTGTATCATTTTTAAAAACGGCAATTAAACTATGAAGATGTTTATTTAAGAGATAGTAATTATATTGTATTTAAAAATATACAAGACGATATTTCGCTTTACCCCCCAACATAAAGAAAAAATGTCGTTAATCATATTTATTTACAGATATAACTTACATTAAAGAAATTAAGCTTAAAATCAGCCATCACCCACCTTTAAAGTAAATTAAATTATATTGTAGTTCTCGGGTATAGGCTTTTTCTTTGTCCCACTCCTTCTAAATTAAAGCCTATAGAGGTTTAAGCAACATTTTTCGAAATGTTGTGCCTACAAGTACGTGCGGCTTGCCCACAAACGTGTGGAGGGCTCCTCATATTTTTATTTTTATACCCAAATTACATTGTTCCAATTAGATGGAAATGAGGAAAACCTAGCGTAGCTCTGTTGAATCTTCAACGTTAGAGGGCAAAAGCGCTATATATCACGTATCACGTATTTATCAATATGATTTAAAAACTAATCTCCAATAAAATGAGGTTCTGAAATGTCATCATTTGAGGATACATAATTTGTTTTTTTTAGTAAAAAAAAAACCCACCAGACTTGTTTATTGTAAATTTATTTATAAAATAAAAAATTAAACTTTTCTAAATTATTATTTGTCATTTAATATAATTTTATGTTAAAATTTTTAATGTTGGTGTAGTTATAAAATTCGGGAGATTTAAGTTGTGGTGTGTGATAACTCTTGGATCAGCATTTATCCTAGTCTAGGATTACAAATAAAAGGAAGTATAATGTCTATACCTATAAAAAAAAATATATAAGTTTCATTTTTATACCCATGTTGATTTTCACTATATTAAATTTTATGTCATATTATAGAGCTATTATAGATCTCTATAATATATTTAAGTTAGGTTTCAGCAAAAAAAATTTTCAGGGATATAAAATTAAATAGAGCATATTTTCGAATTTTTTCTTTTTAAAGATTTATACCAGGAAGTATGTTGATTCGGAATGTAGTATTTAAATTTTTAAAAGTTAGTGTATTTACTTAGTACGATCAAGCAAACGTAAAACAATAATCAAAGAAATTAGGGCTGGGAATCGATTTTTTTGTTGATTTAATATGTAATACAATTTATTTATGTTTAATAAATCAATAAATTATAAAAATAAAATGACAACACATTTGTAAAGTTTTCAAATAATTAATGATAGGCTTTTTTTCTAAAAACAGTTTTATAATCGAGATTATGGTATAGTTAAAAAGGCATCCAAATGGGGAGGTAAAGAGAATAAATTACGATTACATTTAAATTAATATTATACTGTTTAGAAAAGGAATTAGTAATTAATTAACAGAATTTTATAAGTATAATTGTAATTAGAATTAGGAATTTATTATATTTGAATAATTAGGCATATCACTAGAATTTATTTATTTATTTAATAAATATAATATATTAATTTAAACATAAACAAATAATTTTTTTTATTGCCATTGAATAAAAAATACATGGCGAAAAGATTATTTAACATAGCATTTACTAACTTTTAAAATAGCAAATAATTAATTTATTTTTGAAAAATCATAGTAAAATACTTATTTTTATTTAATAGAGTATTTATTTAAGATTCGATTATATTATACCCATAAATAATTGAAGAAAATCCATATACCAAATACGAAGGAATGGCCGAAAGACAAGCGAAGATCTATTATGATTCTTGTTTAGATAAGACCAACATTAGAAAAAAATTGCAAGGAAAGCCTCTAAAGGATTTATTAGATTTATATGGAGGCTGGGATTTGTTAAACGTAAATAAAAAGTCTTCCCCTTTTATAGATGCATCTTCCACATTAAAAAAAAGTTTTTCTAATTCATCTTATTTATTTAACATACATTCCTTCATTATTTAAACTCAGTAAAATGGATAACTGTCATGATAAAAATTTAAAGGAATATATTTTTTTGTGTCAAAAGGTTTAATTATGCACTTTAGATATTAATATTCATAGCATTGCCATGGTTGCTAAATTTCTGGTAATGATTGATTGGAGTGAAAATATAATTTAACAACATTTTTGATTTTTAATTTTATTTCGAGTCTGGCTTTTCGTGATGATTAAAAAATTTTTTTGTTCGGGATAGAGCTAGCCGGTCACTTTTTTTTCAAACAAAATTCGGGCCGGGCTTAAAAAATTAGGCCTGTATCACTATTATAAATGATAAAACATATACATCTATATCAAGTTAATAAACATTTTCCTTCAACTATATTCAGTTAGTTTTCTTTCCTTTAATATTAAACAGATAAAAAAAATTTTAAAAATTTAATTTATTTACCAATCATTTGTTATCCCTTCCTTAAAAAAAAAGTCAGATATCCGGATAAAGGTTTTCCTAATAAGTTGAATTCTGTGTTTTTTAGCCTAGATATTCACATCGATCCTAAAAATTCTTCCAGGAACTTACTCTACATCTTTACAGGAGACCTCCCAAACAAGGATCACTATGATAACAGTGATCATTATAATAGCACTTTAAAGTACATGACGAAAATTGGAAATTTATTACGAAAGAAGCGAAATGTTTTTAAGTATTTGAAAATGCATGACAAGAATATTAAATTCAATCAGCACGCTATTAATAAAAGTGGCCATACTCAGAGACAAAAAAAGCGGAAGAAACAGAAGAGGAGTCAACTCAGAGAAGCTATGGCAAATGTATTAGAATTAGAGGAGCTAATAGAGAAAGTAAAAAATTAATAATTATTAATTATTCATAAGAAACAATAATTTTGCTTAATTATTAAGAGGTGGATGAAGAAAAATTATTAAATTAGCTCAATATTTTGTCATGGCTATCAAAAAGAGAGCTAATAAAACGATAAAGTGATTACTTGGTATATAACACTATTGGCTCTCCGGTTAATTGGATAGGGGGGGGGGGGTAATTTTGTAAACATAATATCTTGTCATGGGTAGTAAATGAAAGTTAGTGGAAAGATCAATTGATTACTTTGATGCTCAGCACTCTATGTGTGACCAGATGGTAGGGATAAAAATTGTGTAATATATTTCAGCATGGGTGTCATATAAAATCTAATTACAAATTAATTGATTATATTAGTATTCATCTTGAGTGGGGGGGGGGGGGAGGGTTGTTAAAATTTTCTAACATTAGTCGACTGTATCAAATGAAAGATAATATTTAGAAATAAAAAAAAATCACTTTTCAAAATATGCCCTCCTAATCTAACCAGTAATTTTTTTTTCAAGGAATCGACAAGGACCACGACAACTGGTGGAGAGGCATGATGTAATATAATTAGTGGGTGAAGAATTTTATGTGAACCAGAAGGGGCTAATAGTTATTGAAAATTTATAATCGTATACCAATTCTTCAATAGAACTGAGAAAAAATGTTTTGTAGAAATTAAGTATCTACTTTTTTACCTGAGCAATCAATATTTTTCTGATCTGAGGTATTCAGTTGATTATCTACTTATAAAGAAATAATTCTGAACCTTTTAGAATTCATTTTTTTTTTATCAAGTTTGGATTTTCGTGCGATTAAATAGAAGCCTTAAAAAAAGATAATATTTCAATTCAATTTGTGTAAATTTTATATCCGAGTTTATCAAAACAAAACCATAATTTTATTTTACACAATAAATGATCACTAACAAAACCCGATTCGGGTCGATTTTTAAAAACGGCCCGATCAAGATATCAATCAAAATAATATTATTTCAGCCTGGTGATTTTGCCCATTAATTGCAGAAAGGCTTAAACAGCTGTTCGCCATATCTCAAGGCTTACAAAATATTATTTTAACTATAATCTTAATGGGGCCGTTTTTAAAATTCAACTCAAATCGGCTTTTTAATATCACTAATAAATACAATATGTTAAAATTTTAAATTATAGATGATGAACTATTACAGTTTCCAACTGATTGTAAACGGATAACCTTTGAAAAAAAAATCAAATAATTAAATATCAAATACATTTTCAGCACCCCCCTTAGCGGAAATATAATGATATAAATTTCGACACTCGATAGATTTTTTTATAATTTTTTGAAGAGTAAGTGTCAAGATTTGAGTATATTTAAGCATTTTCCAAATATAAAGCTGTTATTCATAAAAATATAACATCACTCTGTCATCAAGTGTTCCAGGATAATTTGAGAATGTTCTATCATTAAAGTAATATTAACAATTCTTAAAATCAATGTATATTGGTAACATTTGTTAATATTTTCTCTTAAATATTATTTGCACTTATCAAAATTTATCCCCCCCCCCTCCCCCTCCCCCTCACCCAATTTATTTAATTATCTCAATATAAAGAAAAATTTGAAAGAAAAATTAACAGTTGATATTTTTAGGAAAAAAACATTTTTAACAGCGAAAACACAATTACTTAGCATATGAATTGATTAATAATTGGCATTCATGTGTGTAAAATCTACTTATGTTTAGTTTTGTATTTTTTAATTTAAAAATATCAGTTAAAATTTGAATGAAATACAATGTGATGTATCTTATTATAAAGAATAAATATTTAGTTATACAATAAAAAAAGAAATAACTGATTAATAGCATAATTTATTATATCGTTAAGCCTAGCAATATCATTATTAAAGTTATATAACTTTTTATATTATAAAAATATTGCTATTATAACCAGATTACTCCACCTTTGGCAATTGACGATGCGAATTACCAGTCTTTGAAAGAGTTGGATAAAAATTTTGATTTCGTGAGTTCCATGCTAAATCTTTTAACTTTATATGCCCAATGACAATTTATAAATTTGATTAAAAAAAAAATTAAATTAGGCAAATAGCTAGTTTCAAGTTTAAAATTTAAAAACTTCATAATTTATTATTATATATTAGCAAGCAATCAAATTTGAAATGCATTGATGGTTATAATTTTAGCCGTATATGTGTTTTATATAATATTTGAATATATTTTTGTTTAAAAAAAATTAACATATAGGTTCTAACTTTAAGAAATAAAAATCTATTTACAGATGTAATCCTAGGCTAAAAATTTCAGATAAATTAGACTTTTAATATAGTTTCTAACTTTAAGAAATAAAAATCTGTTTACAGCTGTAATCCTAAGCTAAAAATTTCAGATAAATTAGACTTTTAGGTGGAATATTAATTCAATTTCAAAAACAAAATTTAGTAGAAAACAGCAATGAACAATAAATTTTTTTACAAATAACAAAAGTATATTTTTTTTCCTACCATTATAATAAGATGAATTGGACTAGTTTTGTAAATCAAATTTTCGAACCTCTCAACATCTCCATATCTGCCGATCAACTCTTTTGGGTCACATCCATATCCTATATGAAAGGGTTAACTAGCCTTATCAAGCAGTACTTAAATGAACCTAACTCATCTAGGTATTTCAGATAAAAGAAATTCAACAAAAAAAATTATAATAATTTTCTCCTTTCCAATTTTTTCTTTTCTGAAATTTCAGCACATAACTATTTTATTTAGCTTAATATATTTTATAAAACGTGATTAGAATTTTACATGATTACATAATGTGGCACAAGATAAGGCCTCTTACAAGTTATTTGTCAAAAAAATTCAGCGATGATCCGAATGTCAAAAATAATACCATTCCTAATTGGAAGTTATGTTTAAAAGAATTTCCCACTTTTATGAATTACCCAATCAGTTCCCTTTACCTGAAATCTAATTTTTATTCCAAGGATAAATTGAAAGTAATTGATAAAGTATTTATGTCAATTTTTAAAAAATGATATTATTATTTCTACACTTATTTTTCAGCTAAAAGGAATGGTTGATATGATAAAATTGGCTTATAAAAGAAGTTTGCAGGATCTTAATTGGATGGATATAACTACGAAGGCTAGATCTATTGCAAAGGTTTCAAAAAAAAATTCCCTGAATTCTTTTAAACTGCATATGCTTATGAATAAATTCTAATATACCAATTCGATTTACTCGACTTGGGTAACAACCAATTAAGTGTTATAGTAAAAGTTTTAATATCAAATTTTTAAATTTAGCTACATTCGTAAATACTTTTAGGTGGATGCGATGAAGTTCAAAATTGGTTATCCTGACTACATAATAAATCCCAATGAACTGGACAAAGATTACCGAGGAGTAGAATAAAAATATTTTTACCACTAACGAAAAATATGATTAAATATACACATTGTTATCTAATATAATGCAGACTATTTTTTAAGTTTAATAAGTTTAAAATCTTTGAAATTATTATTTTTTTCCGATAAAAATCCCCCTTTTAGCTAAATATTTTGGATAGTTTCTATAGATTCATAAATATGAGTATATATTATGTTTATATTATCCCATGCTCCATGTTTTTCTTATCTATATTCAGAATATTTTAAAATTGGAACGTTTTTAAATATTACCAATTAAGTTTTGATTTTATAAGTTTGTTTTTTTTTTAAATTTCATTTTGCCATTGCATCATGCCCCTTTCCCTTCCATATTTTCCTGCTCTAATATAAAAATTATTAACATTCTTTTCCTCTCACGATAGTCAATTTATGGATGCGACGTTATAATGTGTATTAATACTATTATTAAAAAATATATGATGCTATTTAATTTTGAATGCATCAAATCAGAAGTTACAAAATAATATCTTTTCTATATTTATGCAGCAGAAATAGTTTTTCATTTTTAAATAAAGTTCAAATTTTTGCTAATCAGACTCCAACATAATTTTCTAAAATTCAATTTAAAAATAATAATATTTTTATGCATTATATATAATTAAATTTTTACATTTATTTTATATCTTTCTTTTTTTTTCAAAGCTATATATAGAAAAGAATTCGTACTTTAAAAATTATCTCAACCAAGATATTGCAAGCCACATAAACAAATTGAAAACACTTTTTGAGCCTATCGATAAAGAAAGGTTATTGTAAAAATTAAAACAGTGTGAAACAAGTCTTTTTGTTTTCCTATAATTTTAATATCGATAATTTACTTTATAGAATATTAGATTTAGTTTTCTCCATTATTTTTAAATATAGGTTTACTAAACTATCTGTGATTATATTTTAGCATGAAGATAAATCAAATAAAATTAAAAATATTAATCAAAGGAATCTTTAAATTTATAATAAGTTTTTAATAATTTTTTTTTATAAAATAAGAATTGAGACATTCACTCGATTAACAGAGATATTCTTTTAAGATTTAAAGAAATCTATTTACATACAATCAAATATACTATTTAAAAAAACAATATATTACAGATACCATTTACCTCCTCATTCCGTTGAAGCTTATTACTCATGGTCCGAAAACGATATAAGTTCTCATTTTTTTATGAAATAAATATTTAAGAATTTGAATATAATTTTTTTCTTCTTAAATTTGAAACTTTTGTAATCAATTTATTTTAAGAATCCTTGAAAATAAGAAATAAATATTTAAAAAAATAATTCAATTTTTTTAAATATTACAAAAGCCTTTTTGGCGGGACTTTTGCAAAAACCGTTCTATGATAGCACCTATCCAGAGTATGAGATAAAAAAAATATTATTTACCATAAATATCAGCCACTAACATAGTTAGAGTTTAAATTTATCAAGGTTAATAGCTAGTCTAGTACGCAAGCTTAATTTTGCAAACAAATAAAAACCATTTTTACTATTTAACTTATTTATTTATTTAGCAATTTTTCTGAACCCGAACCTCATTTTATTTAGGGTCTCGGTTTAAAATTATTTTTTTATTATATAAAATATATAATAATTATATTTCTACATCGCTTTAAAACAATTAGCTTAATTTTTCTATCAGCATTATTTTCAAAATTAGAAAAAAAAAATATAACATTTTTATATGAGGTTTATAAGGTAAATTGAATTTTGCTGCTTTGCCTCCAAAAGATGAGCCGAAAATGATGAAAAATAGATTCTGCGACCATTGAGAAGTTTTGAGAGTTGGAAATATGAGTTGGTAGGCAAGTAAAATTTAAATTCTACATGTTAAGTGAAACCTGTGGTGGCATTGAGATTAGAGTATTTTTAATAATTTCTATGTATTATTGATGGAATTCATATGCATTAAATCATAGCTTTATATAACTATGCTATAACAACGTTTTCTAATAATAATAACAAAACTAGATTCTCCTGCATTATTTTTCAAAACGACTCCCTAATATTTTGTAATGCTAAACTATTTCCCCGAGCTTTTTATTTAGTCAAAAATCGAATTATAACTTTTCCTAGTTACTGTAAAAATTGAAAAATGCATTTTATGTTTGAAAATATATGACATATAATAATACCTAAACTGAATATTCATTTATATACATGTGCAATCAATATAAATCAGCTGATGACACGCTATTTTTGTTTCTCATATAAACAATTTTAAAAAAAAAACTCAATAGTAAACCAAAATGGGTGTTACCAGATGATTTCTATTCATGCGAGACTTCAAAATAAATTATATTCAGTGAATCGACAGTCTGGGTGGGTAGGAATATGTTATAGAAAAAGGTCACTATGTGATTAAAAAACAATTATATTTAATAAATCTTTTTGTCCTTTTATTTAAATCATCAGGTAACCAACTACTAGGTAAGGAAGGAAATGAATAAGGAAAAGGAAGTAAAGAGTGAAGGAAAGGAGGAAGTTAGAATAATGTACAAGGAGGAGAAAAGATGGCGGCCTTATTCCTCTCAGCTATCTTTTGTTTTTACCAATTTTATTTATTCTTAACCTTTCGCTTCTTTAATCCCTCTTCATCCCATCGGGCGCCTAATTAGGTGAATTGTCTATCTCTTGGTAAAAATATTTTTAGGGTATTTTTTTAAAAATCATACACCAAAAAATTTTCCCTTCATAAATTCAATATTCCTTTACACCTGAACAGCAATAATTTAATGGGTTATTTGCTAGTATGATACAAATATAAATATATCTTAAATTTTATTCATTTCGTAGTACTTATCTATTTGGAGCTATAGGGAGCCTTATATCCCATGAAATAAGCCACGGCTTTGATAATATCGGTAAATGTTGTGTTTTGTAAAAAGAAAGAAAGAAAGAAAGAAAGAAAGAAAGAAAGAAAGAAAGAAAGAAAGAAAGAAAGAAAGAAAGAAAGAAAGAAAGAAAGAAAGAAAGAAAGAAAGAAAGAAAGAAAGAAAGAAAGAAAGAAAGAAAGAAAGAAAGAAAGAAAGAAAGAAAGAAAGAAAGAAAGAAAGAAAGAAAGAAAGAAAGAAAGAAAGAAAGAAGAAAGAAGGAAAGAAAGGGATAAGATAAAAGAATATATTATAAAAATACTTGCTTGGTATAGTAAACATACAATTATATTTACAGGTAGAGAATACGACGAAAAAGGTAATTTGAATCAATGGTGGACGAACGAATCGATAAAAATTTACGTAGAAAAAATAAATTGTTACAGAGAACAATATTCTAATTATTCGATTAATAAACATCAGGTTTATTTATCACCCTATACTTGTTAAACGGCCCAATTCATAAAAAACAATATCATAAAAATATCAAGTAAGCCTAAAGATTTTGCTTATATGTGGCAGAAAGGTTTGAAGGCTTACTCTTGGCTAAAATCTTAATCGGGTCGTTTTTAAAATCGACCCTAAGCGATTGACAATACTCTCTATACAGTATAACCTATCTAATTTGGGCAACTCACTTATTTAACCAAAATTTTGAACCCTGATCAAATTCCTATTAACTACTATTAAAAAATGACTTGACAAATTGGGCAACTGTTGACTTTGAAAAGTGATCAGATTTTTATTTTTTTGAAAGTGCACTTTTTTTTTTATTACTTTCATTGATTTATATTTTTAAATTTTATTATGGTGCAAAACATGAAGTTATTTTTACATTAATTTAAAAAAGAACTAACTAACTAAAAACTATTATAATAAAATAAAGTATAAATATCTTTTATATTAAATACAAATTTGATTAAATAAAAATAAAAAGTATCAAAATATATTACAAAAACAAATTAAAATATAAAAAAATCAATTTCCATTATTTATTCTCCCTCTTCTGAATGTGACAGCCTGTTGTTTAAATGGTCTGTAATTTTGGCTGTTTTCGTAGTAGCACCCATCTATCATGCGTTATCGTTGACTTGATTCTATCACGTTGGTTTGTTAACATCGTTTTATAGTTGTGCTTAGGTTTGTTTATGTTGGCTTCTCGACGTTCTCCGTCGTTATCATTATTAATTTTCAAGATTGTTATTATCATCAATTATTATTATCAAGTAGGATGTTGGAATATATGAATAATCTGAATGATGTATAGAATTTGGAATAATTAGATATCTGAATAATAAATCAACAAGATTGTTATATCATATTTTAATATTTAATTCATTTTTTTGCGTTTTAGTGTTAATTTTTATATTTTATTTTAATATTTGACTTTCATATCTTAAGTAACATAATCTTTTAAATAATTAGGTTTTGACTTAATTCTTATTGGTCTCGTTACTGGTATCACATTTTCATTTTTATTTACGTCACACTTCCCTCCTTTAAAGTTTTCTTAGATTGAGAGTCCTGGTCTTTAAAAGTTCTATTAAATGTTAACGTTTTATGGTTTAAATAAATCCCATTTAGTTTTAATATCACGATTAAACATTTTTTTAGAAGGTGCAACTCTATTGTATTATTTGGTGTGTTTCTTTAGTTGAAAAAGAATTTGTCGATTGAAGTGTCTAAATCAGTCTTAATATTTCTTATCATATATGCCGTAAACGTCCTCACCATACGTTCAACCTGGTCATTGGACTGCTGGTGCTACGCGGATGTTAGTATATGTTTTATGCCGTAATTATTGCAAAATTTTTCAAAATCTTTGCTCGTGAAATTAGTACCATTACCCGTAACTACAGTATCACATATACCAAATAGCAAAATAGTTTTATAAATTTCTTTAAACTTTAATTAGTTTATTAATTTCGTCTTAATAATTGGTGTCGATATTAACTATGAATTTATTTAAAATATTTTTAAAGGCATTAATCCAGATTGCTAACAACGCATTCTTTCTTGACTCTACAACTACTGCTAGTAAATATTTAGTGATTCCTTCATAACTTACTTTGACTTGAGTTGTCCCGATGATTTTTATCAAGTTTCCATCGTAGGCTGTAATCGCAATCGATTTCTTCATTTCTCTTAAGCCATTTTTTTGAGCCATCTCATGAGGTATAATGGTAAACTTTGATCCAGTATCGACTTGCATAGTTGTAGTAACATTATTTAATTTCCAAGTAGTCATAAAAACACTGTCATTACCTTTGTCTGTATTTTAAGCCAGGTTGTTGATATTGAAATCATTCTCATTATTGTCTTTGGCAGTGTCAACTTTATTTTCCCCAACTCCTTCAATGTTCATATTACAATTATCGTAGCAATTTTGATTATCATACTGGATTTGTTTTCTTTGATTAAAATCCTTCCACCGATTACGATCGTTATATTCGATTTGTTTTCTTTGGTATTATTATTATGCCACGTGTTGTCTTCATATTTATTTGAATTATTATTATAAAATCGGTAATTATTATGATTTTGATAGTCACATTAAATATGCCTCCTCTGATTATAATTACACCAGGCGTTGTTGTTATTGTTATAAGATTGATAATTATTATTATAAAAGTTTCTAAAGTTGCTATTGTTATACCGATTATTGTAAGTTGATAGTTGTCATCATTATACTGTTTATTTCTTTAGTTTTTGCTATTATAATTATTATTGTTTCTAACATTACTAAAATTCCTGTTGTCATTAACATTACTAAAATTGTTATTAGCATAATTCTCCTTCCTAATGTCAAAATTTTGTCTCGTATTATAATTAGGTCTATTATAGTTAGTAATATTCTCATTCCTATTATAAGTATTTTGGTTTTCTAAATTCTTATCATTATTTCTATTATTATCATTAATTTTATTAAATTTTTTATCCCTATTAGAAACATAATTAACATTGTCACTTTCTGATTTAATGGTAATACTATCTAATTTTTCTCCTATTTCAATAATTTCATCTAATGTATAGTTAATATTTTTATTTAATTTATTTTTTATATTATCATTTAAACTAGATGTTCTCAATTTTTCTTTTATACGATCATCATTAATAAAATTACATTGTCTACTCAACTTAGACAGTCTAAAGTACCAATCTATGGAAGATTTCTTAACGCCTTGTGATGCAAGATTAAATTTGTTAGTTAAGCTCCAAATATCTTGATTAGGTATAAGGTATTTTAATTTTTTAACGATCTACCTTAGTACATAATGACTTGATTTTATCGTATAGGTCATCAGATAAATTGCTCATCAATGTTTCAATTTTTACTGATTCGGATAATATTGCTTGAGAGAAATAATCATCAAGTCTCTCTAAGTAAGTGTCAGTCAAACACCCCTCCAGTTTTGGGAACTATCCCTGGTAGATGATACACTAATTTTTTCGTCCATATTTAAAATTTGCAAACTTTTATTTTAAAGTTTTATTTAAATTAGCATAAAGATAAACATTGACATTATAAAGTCATATGATTATGTATTCAATTTTTTTTTACTTTGTGTGTGTCCTTTTATATCGAATAGTTTTTTAATTTATTACATAATTCCCCCAAAAAAATATTTTATATTTTTTATATTTTTTTTTATAATTATTGGCATAGGCACAATATATGAGATTTTTTTAATATATCATTGTACGTGAATAACCATACCGGGCCGGGGCACCATATTAATATGGTGCAAAACCAAAAGTTTTTATTAGACAAAAAGTTTTTATTGTATTTTTACATTAATCTAAAAAATAACTAACTAATTAAAAAAAACTACTATAAAAAATAAGGTATATATATCTTTTATATTAAATACAAATTTGATTAAACAAAAATTAAAAGAATCAAAATATATTACAAAGGCTATAATCGTAAGTTTCCATCAACATATTAAATAAGGTTATAATCAAATAATACCAATTAAAGTTATATAAAATGTCAATATAAATTTAAATATATAAAAATCAATTTCCACTATTTAGTAGTATACCTATTTGTTTATTAGTTAATTTGTATAATAAGTAAATGATTTATTTAATCACGTGGTGTTTATATCAATATAATTTATGGCAACTTAAATTAACTATAATTGAATTTAATTATAATTTTAAATTACTATTTGAATTAATATTCATAAATCTATTAGAAAATTTTAAGTATATATATATATTATCCATTTCGTTACTATAGACCGGGTTTGACCTTGCTAGGCCTCATCATAACCCCGCGTTTACAATTAAAATTCGAGACGAAATATACAAAATATGATATAAATATAATAATATTTTTGTATATTCGGCGCTTGGCATTAAAATATTAAATGTTTAGAAATAATAAAATTGACATTATATAAAATTTAAAACATCTTTTCGCATTTCGGAAAGTTTCATAATGATATATCATGTTTAAAATTATTTTTAAAAGGTATTAATCATATTAGTAAATTAGGTTAATAGAATCATGGCTAGGCGGATTAATCAAACTGTGCTTACAAATATGATATATTATAATATATTTATATAATAATATAAAATAAATATTAAATATTACATATATTTAAAACAATTTTATATGATAATACAAGTGAATTAGGAAAAAATAAAAAAAAATTATTAAAATTTTACACATTTTTTATAATTCAAATAATGTCATTTTGTCATTTTTATATGAATTATTTTTTTTTGTATTGTCCATAAAAATAATGGAATAATAATATTATAATTATCTTATGGGAGGCTCAATAAAATAATTGAATCTAACCCCGGGTTTGAGGCATGTTGGCGTAAAAATTTACTTATACTTGAATCAAGAGAAAAAAAAATATAATTTGAAAATTTATTAACGTTTAAGGTTAGGTAGATGTTTGAGCTATCTTGTGGTATTTTGGAAATTCATGCACAATTATTTTCGGACCTATGTTTAAAATTGAGCCGACAAGCCCCTTTAATATTATTGTATATGCATTGGTTGTGTATATATAAAACCAATAGAATTTGATTAATTTTAGGGTTATGGTTCGGATGATTATTATAAAACAGCCTTACATTTTTTTGTCATTATTTATAACTTTTCATTCTTATTTAAATACGATTTTATTTTTCTTCTCTCTTTATCGATAAAAAAAATACACAAGTTGAACTTCAAACAAACGTTAGGAGAAGATATAGCAGATAACGAAGGACTCTCCATATCATTACAAGTTTTAATTTTCAGAAATTTGTATTCGATTCTTGTGAAATTACTAGAGTGCCGAACCGAACCTCAAAAACCTAACGAACCTATATAACTTGATATTTTTTTTAAATACTAAATAATGTGATTTTAAAAAATTTCATATTTTCTCATTATTATTATATTTAACAATTTTTTAAAGTTAAATATTTTTATTTATACATTTAATAAAAAATATTGAATGTTTTCACTCAAATCAGCACAACATTGAATGTATTATATTATGTTTTTTGTTTTTTAAACTTATATGCATTATAACTTAGTTATGAAAATGGTATCTAATAAAATATTTTATTTTATTTTTATATTTTTTTTTTACATTTCAAAGTAACTTTATTATTTATTCATAATTATTAAATTACAGAGGATTAAAAAATATATATTAAAATGGATATATTAAAAATTAAATATAAAAATAAATAAATATAAAAATAAATAAATATAAAAATAAATAAATATAAAAATAAATAAATATATAATATATATATAATCTAAGAAGACATTAAAAAGGACTATAAAAAAATATATATATATTTAAAAAAAAATTGGGTATATATCATCCAAGAGAAGAGTGAATACTTAAATAATTAGACCGGCAAATTTCCAGAGAAATCTGCTGGCGAAGGTAAAATCCTTCATTGGGGTCCCCTGAGATCTGTCTCATTTTTTTCCTAAAATTTTAATGTAATTGAGGGCCTCGTTTCCAAACATCTCCTAGGGTATTGGTAACGATGGGAATGAACATAGTGTTGGCGAGGCCAGCGTATTTATTTTTTTTAAGGATTTCTGCCATTTCGATAGCAGAAAATGAGAGGTTAGACTTGGCTGCAAAATCAACGCAAGTGTAATCCCATGGTAGCGAAAGACCATTAGACCATAGTATGAAAGAAATACCATCCGGGCGTATGGCGTATTCGTTTGAAAGACCCACTGGTTCGAGGGTAGATGGGATATTAACTTTTTTGAGGGCGCCTAGTAAAATGTTATTGATAGATTTATGACGAGGTTGTCGTCCACGGGAGAAGTTGCAGTGCAAGGGATGGTAGGCCTTCGATTCAATGGGCTGACCACAGTCGATGCAGATGGAGGGAACTACGACATTACAGCCGAGGCGGAGAGCTATAGATATACGTAGCTGTTCGCCATTCATGAGGAGGCCAAGATTGGCGCTGGGGATGGCTTCCAACCATTCGTAGCCAGAGTTTGCATTTAGTACCAAATTATTAGGATTTTCCTCAAAGGGCCTGTTCGAAATAAGATATTCAACGGAACGGGTGATCAGAGGAGCATCCCAGTCTTTCTGGGTACTGGAAGCAGGAAGGCTAAGGGTGGGAGAGCAGTTGTTGTCCCAAAAGGTGAGGGCCTGTGAGAGGTAAGTATCTGAAGGAGT